AGACCTGGGATGAACTTAACATCCTCCCTTCTCTTCTTTTGCCTTCTTCCCTACACATCGCCCCCCAACCGCCACCCCTCAAATAGATTTCATTACTTCATGGAAATAATATCGAGTTATAATTCAGTTATTCTTTTTCCAAATTCAGAGAATCTGAAAGGAAAATGCGTTAGAAAGATACTATTAAAAGAAACAAACATGGTGTTTTCCTTTAAGTTTGGAATTATTCTGCATAAAAAAAAGAAAAAAACATGAACTTTTTACACTTCTACTCCTTTTAAGCAGGCACTAAACTTAGTGTTGTGAAAACAACGACCACATTACAGAAAAGATAAGACAATCCCAATGATAAGAAAGATTTGGGGGGGAATAAGGAAGAAAAATAACGATTTTTCTCTTATTAAAAACAATTAACATCGTATACATTCTAAAATGAGACAAACAAGATTTATCATAGTTACAGGCTATCATCTTACACCCCTGGAGCGAAAGAAATATTTGGAGTCGTACCTAAAATTTCAATTGCTGAAAGGTTTTTAGAAAACCAGTTTTGTATGTTTCAGCCTTTCAAATGGAAACAGAACTTGGGAGTTTTCAAGGCTGTTTTAAAACTGGCAAGTTCCCAACTCTGGCTATCAATGCAAATCTGGGCAGGAAGTACTAAGGAAATTCTAAACTCATTCCCTCCCTCGGCAAGATTTTCTACATTTTCATGTGCAAGGAGTGTGTTAAGGGTTGTTCTGTTGTTGAAGGATCTGTACATTCACATCTTTAAGAACAGCTCTTGCCCCCCAGGAGCCTCTCTCTTCCTGTGCTGCTCCTCAGCCCTGTGTTCTCAAGTGTTTGCTCTTTCTATGGCACAATCCATTGGGCTCCAGCTAGACTTGCAGACAAGGGCGGCAATCCAGGCTGCAGATGGTTGGAAACTCAGCCTGGAATCAGTGTGCAGTTGATGAATGACTTCTTATACCTGACCCCAACTTCACACCAGGTTCTGAACACAATCTGAGTATCACCCGCCAGAGAAACCGTACGTAGTCTGCACCTCTGCTTCAAGATCTTCCCGGGAAGCAGATGGGAAGGCAGTAGACTGATGTAAGAGCAATGTGATTAGAAAGGGTGTCCTGCACTTGAAGAGACAGAGTGAACTGGTAAGGGTGTAGAAAAGGCAGGAAGGCCAGCTTTGCTGAGTGTGCTTATGCAAATCTTCAAGTTTTCTGAAGATGACTGAAGTTTCCCAAATATCACATGCATAGGAGAGAAATAGCTATTTGTCATCTGCAACATATCAATGTACTAGGCTGTGACCATGTTTTACCCTTTTTAGCTTTTCCAGTTTGTTTTTCCAAGAACACCCGCTGCCCCACCACCACACACAGAAAATACCTCGAATTCAGACTGAAATTCACTCTGGATCTCAAAATGCAATAGCAACAGGTCGGTTGCTTTGAATGGGCTGTGACAAAATTCCTGAGATATATTAGGTTACAACTCAATCAAACATCATTATGTAAATTATCACTTAGCTAATGAACAAATTTTTTTGGTCCCCTTTCTCTCAAATCTGCTGATTATTCTGGGTGGATTCCCCATAGCAAATTTCTTTTGATGAAACTCATGCTTTTTAATCCAGTTATGGCTCTTATTTAAATATTATGACATGTCACCAAGATTTCTTCATTACTCCTTAATCAAAAGCAATATTCTTTTCCAAAAACTTGCTCTTCTTGGTAGGAAAGAATTTGATCAAAAAGAAAATTTACAAAGGGCAACTTTTAATGTGAGGTCTGGGAGAGTAAGCTAAGAATATTGCTATAAGTCAGCCACTTAGGTTTTCATTTTATTTAACTTACACATAAATTTTTCTAATAAAACATTTTAAGCACCTGGAAAATTATTCAAATGGGCAAAAGCATAAATATCTTGTTTCTATTTTTAAAAAGTTAAGCAACAAAGTTAAGAGATTGGTTTTAATGTAATGGAAAGTAGGAGCAGGGAAGGCAGGAAAATGTCACAATTTTTTAAAAAACTTAATTACATTTGAGGAAATGGAAACCATTTGCATTTATTTAAAAATCCCATTTTCATTTTGTTTCATCACAAGAAAAATAGCAACTATATCTAACACACATATTTAAGTAAAAAAAAAAAAAAGAGAAGGTTCAGCATTTTTGCATTTTCTGAATGAATACAATAAGCATTTTAGTTCTTTAAAATCCCATGAAGATTTTCCACCAAAACTAATGTCCACAAATAGCTTTTGTGGATTAGTGAAAAACACCTGAATTTAAAGAACAGTTGAAGTTCTGATATCACCAGAGTATGTATAATCTTTGTTGTCAACCACAGAATTCTAATTCTATGAACTGTAAGTGTTCTGCATCTATAAGCACCATTGTAAATAGCTATGATTTCAAAATAGGATTAGAACTATAAACCAAGTCTAGAACACAGAGGATTTTGTGAATTTCACCCAGACTTACAAATAAATAGAGCAGCATGTAGGTCCTTCAAAATTATTATAGGTTATATTTTGAGATATAAGTGTGAAAAGGGCAAAAACTGATTCTGAAATAACCAGGTGGTCTTATGGTATCCTGGGGCATGAGAGTACTTTTTATATAGTATTCACGCTGGCAGAAAAATCTCCATTTTTAAAGTGCAACTGCACATTGACCCTTCCTCCCATTCCTCGTGTGTCCAAGTTTCAAAACAGGGCACGTTTTCACTTCTTCAGCTTCCAGGGATGTTATTAATGCCTGTCATTTCAGAGCCTCCGTAACAACATTCGACAACTTCACAGCACTGTCGAAATTTTACAACATAATCATCAATGTGAACTACCCTGATAGCCAAAGTAGCTGATCTGATATTCCCTACCACCCTGATCTGATTACCCCAAATATCAGCTTAGGTCGCCTAATGGATCTAACTTCTTTAAAAATGTTCCAGAAGTTGATGGCTTTGACTGGCTTGAAAGTAACAAGATCCAGATGTCGCCTGTCTACATAACACGAAACTACATAGGACCCCAAAACAGCGCTCCTCTCTTCCCTCACCACTCCACTTTCTCCTTTACCCCAATCTCTCTCTCCTCTCTCTCTCTCTCTCTCTCTCTCTCTCTCTCTCTCTCTCTCTCTCTCTCTCCCTCTCTCTCTCTCACACACACACACACACACACACACACACGCACACACACACACAAACACACACACACAAACACACACACACACACACTTTCCACCAGTGTGGCTCATGGAGCATCCTGTATCTTTCATATAATGCGCATGACATTATTTCCTGCTACTAATAGGTTAAAAGAAATCCCAAGCAGAAAAGCAACTCTTCCATTCATTTCAATCTAAACTTTTTCTTTTCTGAATACACTTCCTAGTAGAAAACAAGGACCCAAAAGAAGAGCGTGAATTTTGAAACATTTGGAAAAATTTAGCCACATGAGTAAAAGGGATGGAATGTCCGAGATTTTTCATGCCAACCCCTTGAGTTTGTTATTTTTGTTTCTTTGGGGGGATGAGAAATGACTACAAATCCCTCCCCCCTTTTTAAAAACTTGTCCTTGCTTTGCCATTTCCTCAAGAAAGGCGGGCAGCATTCTCCTCCCAATCCCCAAAGAGTTAAAACTCAAGGCACTGGGCTGGTCTCTTTAAGCAGCAGCAGCAGCAGCAGCACAAACTAAATGCTCACAAAGGCAAAAAGCAACGTGAGTCGACCTTGGAGGGGCAGGGCGAATCCTGGAGCGATGGAAAAGGAGAGGCAAAAAGGCAACAATCTTTAATATAATATTGAAAGTCTGCTGCCTGGTCTGGCTCACAAACAGGCATTGTTTGATGAGACAGAATAAATGAGCGATAACTACGGCATGAATTAGCAAAGCCTAATCACATCAAGGAGTCCTGGTGACAGCACGGATCACTCAGGCACGCCTTGCTCACTCTCCGCATATTTATCCATGAAGAAGACTGTGGAGTCTGGCTAATGCGATACAAAATAATAGCATCCCTCAAGAAATAGAATCCATGCCTTCAAGGTGGGCAGGCTACCAACATCCCGCCCCCCCGCCTCCCCCGCTGTCCCTCTCTCCAAATCAAGTCCAATCTATTTGACAAATTGGAGCAGGGATATCACACCTGAGAGTCCTTCATGTGTGAACTGCAGGAGAAAGTTCATGGTTGGCACTGCCCACTGCTTAGTTACGTGGGCTTCCCACTGGCCCCTTAATGATCATTTGAGCACACACATAAAGCCTGAAGTATTTAACCAATTCACGTCCAATTACCATCAGTTACATTGCAGCCCATTCCAAGCCCCAGGCCTTCTGGTGGCAGCTAACACAGGCAAACGGAGCTTCTAAAAGTCAAGAACATCTCTGGCAAAGCTCCACAATTCAGTCTGTAGCATCCTGATCACCCCCCCATAGGAAACAAAACGTGTAAGGCAAAAAAAAAATACACCCAAACAAACTCCAAGAGACTTTAGTTCACTGCCGTCTACCTTCCACGCCCTTCTTTTATGCTACATCCAGCGATTAAAAGTTTGAGTTCCCCCCACCCTGGCGTGTCCTATCCAGTGGGAAAAACCCTCTCAGAGTCACAAACAAAGAACAGCTCACCAGCAAAGCCCCTGAAATTGTATTCTCGTGCCTGATAATCACCGGTAGGATCTCCTTTCTAACAACCCTGCCCATCTGCAAAGGACTTTACAGATACCAGGAACGTTTATGCTGCCAAATAACAACAAAAGAACTCCCCTGAAACTATGAGCTCTCCTTAAAGAGAAAGCCGGGATTCCGGGCTTGCTCTCTTCCTATATTCTCAGCCGCCTTATTAACTCCGTGGGTATGTTACTAATTTCAAAGAAGCAGGAAGAGGTGATGGGAGGGAGGGGTAGGTAAATACTAATTCACATGCCTGCCTGTTTCCTAGCCAAGTGCAGAAGGACAGATACCACACTGACTTCCAGACTATGGGTCAGAGCCATACCTTGGTTTGGAGATAATGAGGATAGTAGTAAGTGTACTGGGGGTACATTTGTGGCTGATCCAGGCGTTTGCCCATGTAGCTGGAATCTTTATCTCCGAGGCAGGGAACTGGATGACAGGGTATAGTGCCCCAGGCCGAGCTTCCTCTTAAGCCACTATTCCTGACAGTCCCGATGACTGATGAGGCTTCGGAGATTGCTCGTCTTCCACCACTCGCTAGTTCCAACACAGCAAGAATATAAAAAAGAAACACACCAAAAAAAAAAAAAAAAAAAAAATAGGAGACCGGGATCGGTGGGAAAAATCAAACCCCACACACAGCTTCCCCAGATCTTGTCTGCCTTCTCCCAGCTGCCGGGGTCCACTTGGGATGAGGCAGTTTGCTCTCTACCAGGCTGTCTGTATTGATGTCAATTGCCAGCGTTTGTAAAAGGGGGAACGGAAAAAAAAAAATCAAAGTCCTTTCAGCATAACTCCGAATCCTTGCAGATCAGCTTCCTGTCTCCTGTTTGTCTCTTTCCTCACCTTAAAGCAAAAGCAAATCAAGAGGAAAAGAAAGAAAGAGAAAGAAAGAGGAAAAAAGAAAACAGGGAGGGAACAGAAAGAAAAAGAAAGGGGGAAAGAAAAAAGGAAAAAAAAAAAAAAAAAACCTTGCACAGCTTAGTTGCTGCTGTCTCCCTCCCAGAGTGACATGGTGATCCGGGCTTGTCCTGTCCTTTCATTCACTTCCCCTCCTTCCAGCCGGTGGGTGGAACCGAGAGAGCCTCTCCAGGGAGCGGCGTACGCAGTCCAGAAGGCTGCAGTATTTCCTCCAAGAAAAAAAAAAAAAAAAAGGCTGCTTCAACCCCTGCTGCAAGCAAAGTTCCGATTCCCTCTGCTGGCTATCTCGAATAGCAAAGCGATTTTTGCAGCGAAGCTGCTGCCGCTGGAACTGAACCGGGGGACTCAGCTGCGGGCGGTGGATTGTTTCTTATCCTTCCCTCCATCGGCTTCACAGACGAGCTGCCTTCTTTCCTTTTCGTGCCAAGTTTAAAGGTAAGCCACCCAGCGAAACAAAACAGTGCGGACCTCGGGAGGGAGGCGAGGACAAGGGAGGAAGGAGGGAGAAAGGGGGGGAAAATCCAGGAAGAGGGACTAACCTAGCTGGTTAAAATGCAAAAAGTGTGTCTCCGGATGCTTTCAAAACCCCGTGAACACCCTGAAGCCAGATGAATCTAACATTTTAGAAAACGAACACTTTAGAAACTAACATTTTACTTCTTGGAGGACATGGGGGATGCCAAGAGTTGAGGAAATTTGGAGTCTACACCAGAACTCTACTGTTAACAAGCCACGCATCACAGATCACAGTGACCAACTTATAGCAGAAATAGTCATCCTTAGCATCACAGCCCATTTGGAAATATCAAAAAGAGGTGTTCCGCCGGGTTTTTGGACTTCTTTATAAATAAAAACACCAACACCGGTCCGCTCATGGTCTACCTCGTTATGATCTTGATCATGGATGTTCTCATTGCTGCACTGATATCACACACAGAAAAAGAACGAAAATCATAATTACTTGGCAGAGTTTCCCCCCACCAATAGTAAGTAATATTCTGACATGTCGATCAGCTGCTGCATTATAATACAAATTGTTTCCGAGAAAATGTATTTCCTTAAAGGGTCTCTTTTCAAGGCTGGCGAGGCTAATTTTAGCTTCGCCAGCTGTGTTTGCTGTGAGTGCTCACGCATGCCCAAAGCGCCGGGCAGGCCAATACTGAGCCGCTCTCTACTTTTTCAAGTCGGCTCTGGACTCCCCAGCCCTGAGTCGCCTTTTCAGAGAGAAAGTTCCTGGTACAAATCCAGCTCCCTGGTCAAGAACAGAGACTTTGGGGCCAATGCACAATATTGTGTTCATCCATGGTCAAGTCCCACCATCCCTGCGGCCATCAGCTTCCGCCCAGCGGTCTGGTTTCTGGAAGCTGTGTGAGTGCGTGCATGTTCCTTGGAGAAAGATAAGGGTGGCTAGCAAATCATTTCATGTTTGACTTTGGACAAGAACAACAATCAGCAGGAAGGAAGGAAGGAGAGAGGGTGGGAGAGAAGGGGGTAGGAGCCTTGAGAGCCCTGTCATGAAGGAAATGCAACCAGCTCGGCTGATGTTTAAATGTGTTATTCTGGGCCTCAGTTGTCCCATCTGGAAAATGGAAATATTGCCAACTTACCTGGCTGAAGGTGGTACACGGAATCAGATACTGAGTAAAAAAAAATCCCACTGGTTTAAAATTTCATCTCCTTGCTCGGGCAATAGAGTCCTGACTCAAGCTTCCTTCTCCAGGTAAATCCTTCCCCTTACCTTCTATACCCGAGTCCTGCTCAACAGTTTTTAGAACCGGAAGGTGTTCTCTCAGGGCCTCCTGTTCTCCCAAACCCACTTCCACGGCCCTTACCTTTCAGCCCACCCTTTAGGTCTCAGCATAAGTAACAGCCCCTCACAGTAGCTTTCACTGAATCCTTGCTTCCCCCATGCCCCTTGTATTTGCCCCAATATTGGGCTTATCCCGTGTAACTGCCTGTTAATTGCATGTTGCTTCTGAGGTGTTCTGTAAGCATCACAAAACCAGGGAAGTGGGAGTTCCCATCGCTCTGGTTCACTTTCAAATTTCCAAAACTGGTGTGGTGTCTGGCATAAAATGGACACTCCGTACAGGTTTGATGAATGAGACACTTAGACATGATCGTTCTAACACCACTCCCATCCTTATTCCAGTCCACTTCAGTCCATTTCTGGGTGCAGGGGATGTGGGGATACACTGATCAGGACAAGGCCCTTCCCTTGTAGAGTGTGTATTCTAGGGGGTGAGATAGACAAAGGGATAAGCAAGGAAGTAGGCACTATAAGGTCAGATGACATTTAGTGCTGTTACACCCTATACAGCTGAGTAAGCGGCCCAGGGATTCCTCCTTTAATCGGGACGTTGGAAATGCTCTCCAAGGAGGAGCTCTGGGGATAAAGGAAGAGCGTAAACCATGTCCTGGTGTTAGACCAGTGGTTCTCAACCTTCCTAATGCCGCGACCCTTTAATACAGCTCCTCATGTTGTGGTGACCCTCAATTTCATTGTTACAAACTGAACATAATTAAAGCATAGTGATTAATCACAAAAACAATATGTAGTTATATATGTTTTCCAATGGTCTTAGGTGACCCCTGTGAAAGGGTCGTTCGACCCCCCACAGGGGTCGCGACCCACAGGTTGAGAACCCCTGTGTTAGACTGTAAGAATCAAGCCTTGGCTCCCACCTGAACTGCCTTAGTTCTAGTCCTGCCTCTGACGTATCACTGTACCCCCATTTATTCCCATCCATCCAATGGCACTGCCCACGCCTGACAGTTACTATCAAAATTCACCAAGTAAACATGTGAAGTATTTATAATACTGTGGAACATATTGGATCTGCTAAAAAAAAAAAAAGTAAACTTGTGTCTGGGGGAAGAGCATTCCGGGCAAAGGGAACAGCAGTACAGAAAGCCTGGCAACAAGAGCATGTCTCTGGAATGTGTGAGAAATGGTGCCGGGGCTGGAATGGAGCAAGTGAAGAGTAAAGACTATAAAAATAGCTCTGCGGAGGAACCCTGGAGCCAGACTGTAAAAGCCTTGGTGAGAACTTGGTATGGACAGCTTAATTCGTGACAGTTGATAATCTGCAGCCAGGACTCTATCCAAGTGTCTGGCTTTAGATCTAGGCATCCTCAACTACAGAATGCTGTCCTCCTCAAATGTCCTCCTCCAAATGCTAAGACCCATATGCTCAGGATCCTAGGACTGCCTCGGCCAATTTCACCACCATGGGCAAAGGGTATCAGTGTTCTTCTCTTAATAAGTGATCTAGGTACTCCCTGAGGGGAAAAGAATACTGTCTTATTTGCAAATAAAAGGTAAAATAACTCCTCAGCCCAAGCTACAGCCCAGTTACGTGCACTGATGTTATCAGCAATTTCTACCCAAATGGCCACAAAAGGCAATTCTGGTGGGTTTTTTTAGATTATTGTTATATTCTTTGCATCAACTGTCATTAGCCAAAACAATTCATTGAACATTCAAAGCTTTTCTTAAATAGCAGAAAGGTGGTTTACCATTTGTGAGAATTGTAAAACCCATGTGTTTGCGGTGGTTTTTTTAACTTTCCCCCTCAGAGATACCCGTAGCCTTGCCAGTTTGGGAGGGAAGATACTCATGTCAGAAATAGTTTTGAGCCCTAGCCGGGGTGGCTCAGTGGATGGAGCATCGGCCTGTGGATTGAAGGGTCCCGGGTTCAATTCCGACCAAGGGCACATGCCTGGGTTGTGGGCTCGATCCCCAGTGTGGGGTGTGCAGGAGGCAGCCAATCAATGATTCTCTCTCATCATTGATGTTTCTATCTATCTCTCCCTCTCCCTTCCTCTATGAAATCAATAAAAAAAATATAATAAACATTTTTAAAAAAGGAATAGTTTTCATATCACATCTGCTCTGTTGGAGCAGTACTGCTTTCCATTTAAATCAGTGGTTCTCAATCTTTGCTGCACATTAGAATCACCTGGGAATCTTTTTAAAATCCTGATTTCTGGGCCACGTCCTCTGGAAATTCTGTTTCTTTATTATGGGGTGGGGCCCTCAGTTGATTTCAGTTAGTTCAAGCTAAAGAGGTAATGAAATCTGGAGAGGTTGTGTTAACTTTGGCCTTGTATGGGATGGGGCCATAACATTAGTAACAAAGACACAGAATTTCCGGAGGATGAGGCCCAGAAATCAGGATTTTAAAAAAGATTCCCAGGTGATTCTAATGTGCAGCCAAGGTTGAGAACCACTGATTTAAATGATCAAGGTAAGGTAGGAGGTAACTCGTTGAAGACACTCTCTAAATCAGAAGTCTGCTGTGTCCCTTTTGCCAACTAACCACCAAATTTTGTACAAATTCAGGAGCAGCAAACTGCAGCGAAGGGCATGGACTCTTACAGAGACCATGTGACTCACAGCACAGAATGGAGAGGTCCTTTTTTAGACAAGTTCTTGGCAAACAGGAACGAGGCGATGCCTCAGACACCATCAGAGTGGAGAAGTGATGGTACTGAAATGAGGGTCAAGACTCAGAGGATAGAGATGGAGACTCTCTTCTCATTGGTCCTTGACCTATCCATCCCCCCCAAAAAAAAAAAAAACACAAAAAAAAACTGAGTCCTCTCTTGGGAGGTTTATTTTTTAACTTCTAAAGACTTAGTCAAAAGCAAAGAAAAAGAACAGTGGCGATAAAAGAAAAGAACATAATTGTACTGTCTTTGAAATCACGTATATTAGTCTATCTTCAAGAAGACATTCATGCCCGGCCAACATGGCTCAGTGGTTGAGCATCCACCTGTGAACCAGGAGGTCACGGTTCATATTCCTGGTCAGGGCATATGCTGGGGTTGCAGGCTCGATCCCCACTGGGGGGCGTGCAAGAGGCAGCTGATCAATGATTCTTTTTAAAAAATTATATTTTATTGATTTTTTACAGAGAGGAAGGGAGAGGGATAGAGAGTCAGAAACATCGATGAGAGAGAAACATTGATCAGCTACCTCCCACACACCCCCTACTTGGGATGTGCCAACAACTAAGCCCTTGACTGGAATCGAACCCAGGACACGTCAGTCCGTAGGCCAACGCTCTTATCTCCTGAGCCAAACCGGTCAGGGCTGATCAATGATTCTTTCTCATCATTGATGTTTCTATCTCTCACTCTCTCTTTCTCTCTGAAATCAATAAAAAATATATTTTAAAAAAAGAAGACATTCATGACCTTGAATGATTTTTTTTAATTTGGCATTTTCTGCCTTCTATATTTAAATCTGTGGATTCCTTTTCAATAGAGTAATTTCCAAAGGAGTAGTAGACATAAGAGTTGGTTAAAAAAAAAAAGGCAAGCCGAAACCGGTTTGGCTCAGTGGATGGAGCATCAGCCTGCGGACTGAAAGGTCCCAGGTTCGATTCCGGTCAAGGGCATGTACCTTGGTTGTGGGCACATCCCCAGTAGGAGATGTGCAGGAGGCAGCTGATCAATGTTTCTCTCTCATCGATGTTTCTAACTCTCTATCTCTATCCCTTCCTCTCTGTAAAAAAATCAATAAAATATATTAAAAAAAAAAAAAAGGCAAGATGGTAGATTGCAAATTCCAACATTAAAGTAATGTTATAATTTTGTTTTCTCCAATGGCTTAAGAAAATACTTGAGACAAATTAGGAAAAAGAGACTAAGTGATTCAACCATGTGTGGTTATACTTTAAATTATAACTTAATGGGAAAATATTAATGTAGATAAAACTAATAAATATTGGCCTTGGAAGAAAATTCCAAGCCTCAGGATAAAATTGTATTGGACTAGAGCATTAATCAAATATAAAGTAAATAATAATAAAGATATGTACTGTTTTTGTTGTTGTTTTTGTTGTTATTGTTAATCCTCACCCAACGATATTTTTCCATTGATTTTTAGAGAGAGTGGGAGGGAGAGAGAAAAAGAAAAATATCGAAGTGAGAGAGACACATCAATTGGTTGCCACCTGAATGTGCCTGACCAGGGCCAGGGATTGAGCCTGCAACTGAGGTACATGCCTTTAAGCAGAATCGAACCCAGGACTCTTCAGTCTGAGGGTCAATACCAGTGATGGCGAACCTATGACACGCGTGTCAGAGGTGACACGTGAACTCATTTTTTTGGTTGATTTTTCTTTGTTAAATGGCATTTAAATATATAAAATAAATATCAAAAATATGTCTTTGTTTTACTATGGTTGCAAATATCAAAAAAATTTCTATATGTGACACGGCACCAGAGGTAAGTTAGGGTTTTTCAAAATGCTGACACGCCGAGCTCAAAAGGTTCGCCATCACTGCCCTAGCCAGTTTGGCGCAGTGGATAGAGTATTGGCCAGTGATGAAAAACCCTTACTTAACTCTGGTGCCGTGTCACATATAGAATTTTTTTTGATATTTGCAACCATAGTAAAACAAAGACTTATATTTTTGATATTTATTTTATATATTTAAATGCCATTTAACAAAGAAAAATTAACCAAAAAAATGAGTTGACACGCATGTCATAGGTTCGCCATCACTGGGCTAGGGCATAATATATTTTTTAATCTTGACCCAATCATATGTTTTTATTGATTTTTTAGAAATACTAAGAGAGGAAGAGAGAGGGAAAGAGAAAGAGAGAGAAACCTATCAATATAAAAGAGAAACATCAACCAGTCGCCTCCTATACACATCCCAATCCGGGTTGGAACCCACAATATAGGTATGTGCTCTGACCGAAAATTGAACCTGCAACCTTTTGGTGTATGGGATGATACTTCAACCAAATGAGCCATCCAGCCAGGGCAAAGCAAGAATAATTTAAAGCAATAATCATTATTAATTTCAACAAAGTTTTATTGAGCATCTACTATGTGCCTGAATACTCAAGGATACCTATATAAATATTTTTACCCTGTCCTCAAGTAGACTTAGTAACTCCATATCTAGCAAACATCACCATTCGTAAATGACCTTAATGTGTTTTCTCATATCTGAGTACCTATTTATAGCAAGCATTATTAAATAATTTGTTTAAGTTGACTCCATGTTTGTTTGTTTTAAATGCATACTTTATTATAATTCTAAGCAATAATGTACATAAAAGCTCAGATTTATTTTGTTTCTATTATATTTGTAAAAAATACATAATATCTTCTCACTTTCTTTTTTCTTTATTCCTCACCAAGGATATTTTTCCATTGATTTTTAGAAAGAGTGAAGGAAGGGAGGAAAGAGAAAGAAGGGAGGCGGCGGGGTGAGGGGGGAGAGAGAGAGAGAGAGAGAGAGAAACATCAATGTGAGAGGGGCACATTGATTGCTTGCCTCCTGCACGTGCCCTGATCCAGGCTCTTACCTGAGCTGGAATTGAGGCTATAACTGAGGTACATGCCCTTGACCAGGAATCAAACACACAATCCTTTGGTCTGTGGGCCGAGGCTCTAACCACTGACCAAAATCAGCTAAGGTCCTCTCACTTTCTATACACACTTTTTTTGTAACACTTAATACTTGTAGGCACCTCTGGCTCTCTTTTACCACTGGCATGACCAGGACACACTTCTCCACTTCATTTAAAGTAGGCATGAGCACATGACATACTATAGCCAATGAAATATGAAGCAGAAGTAACATGTAAATGCTTTTAACTGTTGTTATTTAATTCTCCAGCCCACTCATCTCTGATGAAAGCACCTGCTGATATAGAGGAAACATCTTGGAAGACTGAGCACAACTTCCTTAAATAGTCACCTGGACCAGCCATTGATTTGTCCTGAGTGAGAAATGAACCTTTATTGTATTATGCTATTGAGATTTGGTCACAACCACAGCATTCCCTAGTCAACCCTGCCTAATATGACAGTACTTGTAGTTTGAGTCTATAATTGTTGACTTCCTTGTTTGAGTGTCTCCCCAATAAGACCTGAGGTCCAAAGGGCAGGGAATCCTATCCTATATAATAAAAGGGTGATATGCAAATAAACCGAACAGTGGAATGACCAGTTGCTATGATGCGCACTGACCACCAGGGGGCAGGCACTCAACGCAGGAGCTGCCCCCTGGTGGTCAGTGCGCTCCCACAGGGGGAGTGCCGCTCAGCTAGAAGTCAGCTGATGACTGGCGAGCACAGCGGTGGTAGCTTAGGCCTAAGGGAATGAGCCTAAGCAGTCAGTCAGACATCCCCCGAGGGCTCCCAGACTGCAAAAGGGAGCAGGCCAGGTGGAGGGACCCTCCCCCACCTTGAGTGCATGAATGTCGTGCACCAGGCCTCTATTAATCTATAATGTCACTGTCCTATCTCCAGCACCTAGAACTGTCCTTGGGATGTAATACACAATTAAAAAATGCTTGTTAAGTGAATGAATAAATGTCCACCAAATATCATCTCATTTATCTACCAGCCATTGGTGTATGATACTTTCTGAATAATAAAAGGGGAAATGAGACATGTACTCAAAAAGCAAAAACTTTTAAGTTTTCTGGGAGACCTGCTACAGTACTGAGTGTCTAAAGGAGGAAAATGTTTTCTGCACTGACTATTGGGAGTGAGCACTGGGGTGTGGTGTTGACTAACTTAAAAAAAAGGTGAAGGAGGCAAAGAACTAAAACACAGATGTCCTTTTACATACTAGACACTATACAAGAAGTTTATAAATGCTTCCTCAGTTAAAACGCACAAACACCTGGAAAGTGGGTATGATATTTCAGACTTTACTGTTGAGAAAATTGAGAGGGATGGGGTTTAACTACCCCATCCAAGTTCACACCCAGTTATAACACGGTAGAGGGCTATTTGTGACTTATCCTATATAATAAAAGCCTAATATGCTAAGTGTCTGGCTGGCCATTCAACCAATCAAAGTGTAATATGCTAATGATATGCTAAGGCCGCTCAACTGCTTGCTATGACATGCACTGACCACCTGGGGCAGACGGTCGACCTGTTGACCAGTCACTATGACATGCACTGACCAACAGAGGGCAGACGCTCCACCAGTAGGTTAGCTTGCTGCTGGGGTCCGGCCGATTGGGACTGAGCGAGATGGGCCAGACATGTCCTGGAGCCCTCCCACGTTCCCTCCCTGGCTGGTCAACCTCCTGTGTCCCTCCTCGGCCCCAATTGTGCACCAGTGGGGTCCCTCGAGCATGGCCTGTGCCCTCTTGCAATCTGGAACCCCTCGGGGTATGTTGGAGAGCTGGTTTCGGCCGATCTCACAGGCACAAATTCGTGCACCAGGCCTCTAGTGTCCGTATAAAGTCCAACCCCAGGCTTGTTCCTAAGCATCATTTGATAGAGCTTAAAAATGCCTTATACTAAAATTGGATGAGATGATCTTTGTGTTTAAAACAGAAAACTTACAGTCTACATAAAAGTCTTAAATAAGTCAGTGTGTCTTCATAGAAACAGATGGTGTTGAACAAACAGACAACTGGGAAGAAAGAGCAGGCACGACCTTCCATCAAATAGCATACACTCTATTTGTACCACAGGCCTGATGGTGAATTATATGTGTCAACATGGCTGGGCTATGGTGCCCAGTTGTTTAATCAAACACTAATCTAGACATTGTTGTAAGGTATTTATTTTAAGTGTCATTAACATTTAAAAAATCAGTAGACTTTGAGTAAAGCAGATTATTCTCCGTAATGTGTGTGGGCCTCCTTCAAACAGTGTGAGGGTTTAAGAACAAAGACTGAGATCTTTTAAGAAGAAAGGAGTGCTATCACCAAAATGCCTTTGGCCTCAGGACTCATTATCAACTCTTTCCTGAGTCTCCAGCCTGCCAACAATAACCTGCATTTTTTTGGATTTGATAGCCCAACAATCACATGTGCCAATTCCTTAAAATAAATCTCTGTGTATACACACACACACACCTACCTTACTCATTGCCGTTCCCCAGAGAACCCTAACACAACAGGTTAATAAAATAAGGGGAATATGGTAGCAATGAAGTTCAGTGAAATGGGAACTCATACATTCCTAATACATGTCTATAATGCTTTTTAATAAAGCTTAACAAAATATATAGCCTTAAAAGTCTTTGTCCTTGTAAACCAGTAATATTAGTTATATGAATCTAAAACAGATCATTAGAAGTTGAAGAATAGGAAATTAGAAAAACCTGAATTTCCAACTCAAGTTCATTAAATAAACTCACTATAAAATATGATTCAACAATTCAAGTGATACGGAGAAACATTTTCACAATTTGGCAAATGCTTAAGTTGAATAGCTAATGAAAAAAAAAATGAGGACACATCATTATATATGCTATATATATTGATGAAATATTATATATTTCATCAACAATGAAATATAAATACACACAAGAGAATAGGAGAACAACAGTAGGACCTTTTCTCTGTCATGGGGTTAGTAGCAATTTTACTTCTCTCTCTCTCTCTCTCTTTTTTTAAAATAATCACCTGAGGATATTTTTTTTCTTTTAGAGATAGTGGAAGGGAGGGAGGAAGCAGGGGTGGAGAGGGAGGAGAGAAACAACGATGTGAGAGAGACACATCGATTGGTTGCCTCCTGCACATGCCCCAACCAGAGCTGGGGTTAAACCTGAAACCCAGTTACATGCCCTTGACCCAGAATCAAACCCGAGACCCTTGGTTGCACACGCCAGTGCACTAACCACTTAGCAACATCACCCAAGGCTTGCTTCTCTTTTTGATAAATACTGACATTTTCCAATTTGTCCCAAAATGAGTATATATTTTATTATTTTAAATAGATATTATTTCAAAATACATTTTAATAAGTATATTTCTAGGTATGTTTTTTTTTTTTAAAGAGGTTCAATTTTTTTTTTTAAATATATTTTATTGATTTTTTACAGAGAGGAAGGGAGAGAGATAGAGAGTTAGAAACATCGATGAGAGAGAAACATCGACCAGCTGCCTCCTGCACATCCCCCACTGGGGATATGCTCGCAACCCAGGTACATGCCCCCGACCGGAATCGAACCCGGGACCTTTCAGTCCGCAGGCTGACGCTCTATCCACTGAGCCAAACCGGTCTCGGCTCTAGGTATGTTTTTTATTATTAGCTGACAAGAAATGTTTAAACAACCAGAGGTGACAGTATCAAAATAAATTGCCGTGTATTTTAAGTAGCCATTTCCTTCTGACCTGGATCAGACATCAATTTAAGAAAAGTGTAAATCTTTCTTTAAAATCTAGGAGCATTAATTCTACATCAAAAAATGTCAAAACTCTCATGTAAGACCCCAAAACAAGCATCCTCACTGAATGAAAGAATAACAGCTATCAATGACATATCTTTGAAAAGATTTTAAAAAAAAAAAACTGCATAAGAATCCAAGACTTTCATTTTTTAACATAAACTAATTCTGTCTTTGTGCTTCTGAGTTTCTCATTAAGCTATTTGTAAAATAATATGAATGCACCCCTGCCAGCTTGTTTTACAATATGTTGTAGGAATAGGGACTTTATTTTTGTCTATCTTTATGTCTTCCTCTATATTTCCATGCAAAGAGTTCCACTATTTGCCATCCACTGAGCCAATTTTGTCCCAATGTAGCTGCTCAATTCGAATGGCCCTTCTCACCAGCTCACCTTCTGCCAAGCCTTGGTGCCATTATTGAACCAGAGCTTTGGAAAACACTAACTGAAAGTCTCAAAGTGGGAAAAGATGAATGGCTGCTTTGTCCCATGGAAAACGTATTTTTCTAAAGGAATATTATCACTTTGTATTGACCATCCAGCTTCCCGCTGTCAATAGCTAAGCAAGTTGGATCGATAGGACCAGATGTGATCGGCTGAACTGATTCTTTTCCCTAGAAAAATCCAGACATGCACAAGTCCAGTCTGAAGGCTACTATTGAATGGAATTGCCAGCTAAAATATAAGACCTCCAGTGAAATTTGAAGTTCAGACACATTTTCATATAAGTATGTCCCAAGTATTGCGTATAGCATGACTCATGAACTATTGGGGCCATCCTTATAGAAAGTATGTTTTTAATATATATATATTAATTTCAGAGAGGAAGAGAGAGGGAGAGATAGAAACATCGGTGATGAGAGGGAATCATTGATTGGCTGCCTCCTGCACACCCCCTACTGGGGATTAAGCCCGCAATCCGGGCATGTGCCCTTGACCAGAATCAAACCCGGGACTCTTCAGTCTGTAGGCTGACGCTCTAGCCACTGAACCAAACCGGCTGGGGCCTTATAGAAAGTATTTATTGCTTGTGTGAGATGCCAATTTAGCTGGGTGTTCTGTGTGTTTATTTCCTAAATCTGGCCAGCCTGCTCCTAATGGATGCACCAAAACACTTTACAGGCCTTTCAGGGGACACAAGAATGGGGAGAATTCAAATTGAAAGACAACTAGCCATGCTTAACATTTTCAATCCTCTTTATACACCAACCAGGTGAACCCAAAAGTCCCCAAAGGAAGTCTCCCTTAAGAGAGTTCAGCCACAGTCATGTTCTCTATATGAATCCATACAGTTTTCCAGGAGCTGTTTTCATTGTCATTGTAAACTTGTTTCTGTTTTCGTTTGTTTGTTTGTTTGTTTTTAACATGAGGGGAAACAATCCGTTTTTCTAAAACTGTAATTCACTACAGTAAAGTGCCTGTGAAGAATGACAAATGCCCTGATCCCCATCGCTGTTATCAGAAAAGTCCAATTTAGAGAACCAGACGATTGTGCAAAACACAAGAGGACAGGAGCCGAAGGGCAGTGCTCCCCCAAATGTGTTCCCCGGACCAGCGCTGCCCCACAGACTCTCACATGCACCAGCAAGTGCGGGGATCTGGATTACATGCTCAGCAACTTTCTAGTAACTTGTCAGAAGAATTGTATGTCTCTTGTGTCTAAATAATAAAAGTTTGGACTTGTATTTTAAAAACCTGTGGTTTGGGGTTTTTTGTTGTTTTAGTTTTATTTTTTGGTTTTGCATTTCACTTTCCTAGTGATTTCTAGTGTGTTTTACAAAAATATTAGGTAGGGTCTGTTGGAAAAGAACAAAAAAAAAAACAGTCTTTTGTGACAGATAGTTTGAAAAGTCTTGATCCAGGAAATATACAACTATCTCCTTTCTTTTCATTTTCATTTACACACTGCTGGTGGTAAGTTACTTTGGTGTGTTTTCTGATTGCAATATAAAGAATAATGAAACCAACATGCACTACAAAGGAAAAACTTTATTCTCTGAAATTTACCCTTCTTGTTTTCCTAACTCTTTCTCTTTTCTGTGTGTATTCCCGACCCTCTCTGTGCCACCTTGCTGACCCCTGGGAAGATATTAATAGCACCAAACCCCTAGCCAGGAGGTGGGGGGCCTTCTTGCCTGCAAGAGACTGACTCTGGCAAGATCCACTTCCCAGCGGGAGCCTCAGTTATCTCATGTGCAAATGTGGGTTGCAATTAGGTCAATTTAAGGTCCATTTCTGACTCTGACACTTTGCAATGCCAGGATGCACTTGTTGAACTAAGATGAGACTGTATCTTTTTAAAAATATATTTTTTTATTGATTTCAGTGAGAAGGAAGAGAGAAATAGAAACATCAATTATGAGAGAGAATCATTGATGTGCTCATGTCATTGCCTGCCTCCTGCTCGCCGCCCATAGGGGATAGAGCCCGCAATCCAGGAAATATGCCCTGACTGGGACTCGAACCGTGACCTCCTGATTTATAGGTCGATGCTCAACCACTGAGCCACATCAGCTGGGCGAGATTCTTATAAGCTACAGAAATACTGGGGCTGGCCCCTGCGTGAAGGGGAGGCTCACTCCAGCAGAACAAGATTGACATCCTCCAGCCAGGGGCTCTATGGGACTTCTAGCCATTCCCAGCATCTGCGGACTGGGAGGCCGCAACTCCAAAAATAGCCCCACAAATTATAATTTGCCTTCCAGAGGTGACATCTCCTTGAATGGCACTCAATCACGGCCATCCAGTGAGCCTGCCACTTTTGCCGATGCCTCAGAAACAGTTCAATTCCTGGCAGTCTAGATGCACCATCCCAGGGGCTGTCAGTATGCCGAATGTTTACACTCATTATGCAGTCAGGAAACATAATTATGCCTTTTTCTTTAAGGAAGTTTATGACCGAAGGTAATGGGTGGGACATAAATGCCCTGACTGTTTACTGAGACTCATAAATGCTAAGATCACAGACAAATAATCGTCACTTGGAGATTTGTTCTTGCAGTAGAGAATCTTCGTTTTTAGCAATTTAATGACCAAAAGTTTACCCACCTTGAGGATAATTATTTAGGAGGAAATAAAACTTAGTGCTCATTTCATTCCCAGCTCTGCCAGCTTTCATCCTTGCGGAAAACCGGCTTTCACATAAAATGTGCGGAAGGCAGCTTGCTATAGACGGCTAGTAAAAGGAAGAGGCAATGAGGACAGGCCAAAGCTCTCAGTAATAATGCCAACTTCTTACCGTTAGCAGAGATCCAGATCAACGTTAATGAATATGTTTCTGTTGTCCTCTCTGAGAGATACACTGTGTCTTACAAACGCTCAATAAAGAAAAAAGAACGAGAAATCTGTTCTGGCCACTTAGGAAAAACAAAATGGTCAGAATTTAGCTCAGAATTTAATGAGTGCCATCAAATGCCCACACTTATTTTATTTTATATATATATCTTTTTATTGATTTCAGAGAGGAAAGGAGAGGGAGAGAAAGATGGAAACATCAATGATGAGAGAGAATCATTGATCAGCTGCTTCCTGCATGCCCTTACTGGGGACCGAGCCCACAACCCGGGCATGTGTCCTGACCAGCAATCGAACCATGATCTCATAGTTCATAGGTCGACGCTCAACCACTGAGTCATGCCGGCTGCGCTGCTCATACTGCTCGAGAGTTTAGAACAGTGTCCATGTCTGGCTAGGGTGGGCCGATGGTCAGGCTGAGCTCACAGGGGACTTTCCGGGATGGTTTGGCACTACAGAGTGGAGAAACTAGTGCGAAGCCACTGGGACTTCGGGACTCCTGATCTCCTTTCGCATCTGCCACAGAGACAGGTAAATGGTGACATATGTTGGAGGGCAGGGAGGGGGCAGAGAGGTGGTAATTCAGCATGTAGGTGGCCAGCCTGTGGCTTCTTCCCTTCCCCAGTGGACAACTACATTACATGTGACAGTTAACCGTGGCTTACCCTCTCCAGCCATAGCCAGTCTCTCAGGGTCCCCAGAATGCTGCTTTGGCAAGCAAAGAGAGTTAAAAGTGAACCATCCCAACAAAGGGCATGTTTTGTTTTAATGCTGAGCAAGACTCTTCACCAGCTCATCTTTTTTCCTTTCTTTCTACATCCAGTGGGAGCTTTTTGGGATTGGCACCGTGACATTAAACAGCCCCTTGCAGGAGGGCAACCAGAAGCCTTCCTGGTACCTGCTTTGGGGAGTGGCAGAAAGGGATGCCAGTGTATCTCCATGAAGCAGCAGTTGCAAAAGGAGGCATCTGGATTGGAGATGCTTCTGTTATTCCTCCTTTAGGCTGCAAATGCTGGGTTCTCGGTCCATAAAAAAAGGCAAATGCCCAGCCCCAGTGTCTCAGTGGTTGAGCGTCAACTTACGAACCAAGAGGTCACGGTTTGATTCCTGGTCAAGGGCACATGCCACAGTTGTAGCTTGATCCCCACTAGGGGGCGTGCAGGAGGCAGCCTATCAGTGATTCTCTCCCATCATTAATGATTCTATCTCTCCTTCTCCCTTCCACTGTGAAATTAAAAAAAAAGAAAAGAAAATTGTTTAGAAAAAGGGGGCAAATAAATAAATCAAAAATATTTTTTAGAAGAAGGGGGCAGATACAGAGGGACATCAGTCTGTCTGTCAGTGTGATGGACTCCCATCAAACTGCAGTCTGGTAAGAGATACCTTACTCTTCGTCTCTCTTTGACTAGGGGTGTGGAGAGCTTGTGCCAACGTTAGGGCTCATAGGGCCTGGAGACTAAGATTCCTCTATTCCCTCCAGGAGAGGGGGTGTGCATGTTACCAGCGACAGGGGACACAGGCAGGGGATCACTGTGCTCAAATGGACCTGTGGGTTCCACGTGCAATCGTTACACAGTTGCCGTCCAGCCCAGCTTATTTATTTCTGCTGCAAGCTCTAAAAATTAGCTCAGTTTCTTGGTAACGAAACACTTGAGTCAAAGACCCTAGAACCGTGGTCGGCAAACCGCGGCTCACGAGCCACATGCAGCTCTTTGGCCCCTTGAATGTGGCCACAAAGTTTCAATCGCACTGTACATGCGCGCCCGCACGTGGTATTTTGTGGAAGAGCCACACTCTAGGGGCCGCAGTTTGCCAACCGCTGCCCTAGAAGAACCACACAGTGTTGTTCCACAAGTTTGTAATGAAAGGGTCTATCTATATGACCAGGGATAAGTGTACGGAATTCAGTGTGTTCGATTTGGGGACTCACTTTCTGCCAATTCCCGGATAACCAATGGCCCATTATAATATTGTACATTATCCGTGCTAAGAGGAGCTGGTATAGAAATATTTACGCTCCCCATCCATAAACATTTATTTCCTCCCCAAACAGGAAAGGACTGAGCTTCTCAAGGCTTTCATGTGATTTATTCTCCACTGAAGGGATGTGATTTTTATATCAGGTATGGTTTTCCTTTAGTATTGTTTTGAAGTGCCTGCCTTTGAAATGACTCCCACAGTGAAGATCCTGACCACTTGCCCTTGTTAAATATCTGGGGATCCTTTTCCCCAGCAGATGGGAAGGGCCTCCTGATAAGCCCCTGGCCTCATTTCAATTTGGGTAATTGCATCCTGTCGACTTGAAATGTCCCCGTCAGTTTCATAGGCCTGGGATCTGAGGCCTCATTCTCAGTCCTGACTGCCTGGTGTGCCGTCGGAGGCTGGGGAACAGCTGGTACATTCCAGCCCAGAAGTGGATGCATTTCAGTGGCAGGTGCAAAGGTTTTCTTTGGCCGAATACAAATTCGAAGCTAGGAATAAGCTTCATGGATGCTTTTTTCCCCCAATAAACAGAAGTAACTACCAGGAAACCAAAAATATAAAAGTACCCAAAGCATAAATGTGAATTGGGAGGAAAATAAATAAACACATGCACTAAAACCAGTTCTTTGTGTGATCATTTTGCACTCTGAATCTTATCAAGCGTCTAGATGTGAATGCTGACACTAAGGATAAATAATTCACAGAAAGCAGACAACCCTTCCCCTTCAGAAAGAAATTATTTTATACGTGTATACACACATACATGAATGCATGCACATATATGCATGTGTATATGCATGTGTGTGCATGTATGTGTGTATCTTTGTATGTATCCCAACTGTTACCTCTCTCTCTAGAGAGTCTTCCTCGGTCTGGTATAAAAGCAATTTTCCCCATAAAGCCGCACAGTAGGTATCTTACCTATACATCATTTGAGTAACACTTTTTTAAAAATATATTTTTATTGACTTCAGAGAGGGAGAGAGGATAGAAACATTAATAATGAGAGAGAATCATTGATCGGCTGCCTCTTGCATGCCCCCCACTGAGGATAAAGCCCACAACCTGGGCATGTGCCCTGACCTGGAATTGAATCCTGACCTCCTGGTTCATAGATCAATGTTCAACCACTGAGCCACGCCAGCCGGGTGAGTAACACTTTCAATTGTAATGAGCTTATCTCCTGCACCAAAAGGTATCTTAAAAGGTATCCTTATCCACTTGTTTTCTCAGCACACCAAGAACATAATAGGTACTCAATAAATGAATTAAAATACATAGGCCAAACCTAATTAGTTTTAAGCTCTAACCCACCACCCACCAACCCTCCCCCCCCCCCCCGCCCCCAATGCTATTTCTAAGGGCTGCAAGTTAAGGTATATTTTTCTTGGATACATCCATCTGGACAAAATCCCAA